CCGCCCTGGCCCCGCCCGAGACTCGTCCAGCCAAGCCCCGCCCCTCTCACTTTGCGCCGCCGCAGGCACTGCTGGAAGATGTTCCGGGGCTTGCACGACGTTTTCAGGCTGCTGTCGCTCCGGCTGCAGCAGCCGCTCTTGCATTCGAAGTTCTCCCTGCAGCCGTGCGTGTTGGGCTGCGGGAGGAAGACGATGTTCCCCAGCCCGCCACAGCCTCTCCGGCCTCCCGCAGCGGCAGGGGCCCCGCACCTTTCGCCAGGACAGGCATTGCCAGAGGACGGTCCTGGACGTGCAGAACTTGTTCGGGTTCGGGATGTGGATGACGCAGCACCTGCTCTGACACTCCTGGTGGTCCGTACAGACGTGTCCGATGCCCTGCAACGGGGTGCACCAGCTCCAGGCTCCGAGGGGCCCGGTGTCACCGCCCATGAGACCCAGGCCCTCCCACGTTGCCTGGGAAGCTTCTGGAACAAACCCAGGTGGGGGTCCAGCGGCGAGGAGGAGTAAGGGAATGTGGACAGAGGGTAAACTGAGGCGGGGCTGAAGGAAGTCAGTTGCAGAGCTCGAGGCATGGAGGGGCAGGGCTGGCCAGGCCTCAGGCCGGTGCAAGCCTCCTGTGCCCCGCACTCTACAGGCGGAGAAACAGGTCAGAGAGGTGAGCGGCTTGGCCAGGGACACCCAGGAGAGGAAGCCAAGGTCCACGCTGTGTCTACCCAGCCATGCCTGGTCCCTGGCCCCCGGCATATGGCCCCCACGCAGGAGGCACCGCCATGAGTGTGGCCCTTGACAGCAGCGAGGCCTCAGTGGTTTATTACTGTGAAGGGGCCAAGTTCCCTCTGTTGGACACTAGAGCCGAGAGGTTCCAAGACAGCAATAATGCCCACTGTGTCCACAGAGCCACGCACTTCACGGAGGCAGGTGTGGTTAAACACTACTGGTAAGACCAGCCGCTGCCCGGCGCCTCTCAGCCCTCAAGATCCAGCCGAGAGGTACCATGAGTGGGCAGCTCGGAGGCTGTGTGATTACCAAGATCAGCCTGACCTTGGGGGGTGCCCGGCCGACCTTGGGGGGTGCCCGGCCTCCCCTGGGTGCTGCTGCGTGAACAGCCAGGCCCTCAAGGGCTTTTATCCAGGGAGGCTTCATTTTGCTGCTTCTTGTTGTTTAAAGATCTTACTGACTGGGCTGGGTGCAGTGACTCATGCCTGTAATCCCAGGACTTCGGGAGGCTGAGGTGGGAGGATCACTTGAGCCCAGGAGTTCAAGACCAGCCTGGGCAACACAGCAAGACCCATCTCTCCAAAAACACTTAACAATTAGCTAGGGGCAGTGGCTCACTCCTGTTATCCCAGCTACTCGGGAGGCTGACGTGGGAGGATGGCTTCAGCCCAGGAGTTGGAGGCTGCAGTGAGCCATGATCATGCCACTGCGCTCCAGCCTGGGCCACAGAGCGACACCTCGTCTCTGAAAACAAAGCTCATGTTTTGGAGCGGGTGACCATGACCCAAACGGGATCTGGTGGGCGTTGCCGGGGTAGCGCTCACCTTGTAGACCCGCTTCCCCTGCTTTGCCAATGCCAGGGTCCCCAGCAACCCTGAAGGGGACAGCAGCAGCAGTGGTGGCGGCAGCAGCAGTAACATCCATCCCAGTCTGGCCATCGAGTGCGCAGGTCTGTGGAGGACCAGGGTGCCATGAGAGCGTGTCTGCACCTGGCCTCATCCGCCTCACACCTCCCTTCCCACCCTTCCTCTTGCAAGATGAATTTTTTCTTTTTTTTTAGTTGGGAGTCTCACTCTGTCACCCAGACTGGAGTGCAGTGGCCGCTCCCGGCCATTGCAGCCTCGACCTGCCGGGCTCCGGCGATCCTTCTGCCTCAGCCTTCCGAGTAGCCAGAATTACAGGCATGCACTACCACGCCCGGCTAGTTTTTGATTTATTGTAGAGTTGAGGTCTCACTAAGTTGCCCAGGCGGGTCTCAAACCCGCGGTCTCAGGCAATCCACTCACCTCAGCCTCCCAAAGGTGCGAGATTACAGCCTGAGCCACTGAGCCCGGCAAGATGAATTTTTTTTTTTTTTTTGAGTTAGGAGTCTCACTCTGTCGCCCAGACTGGAGTGCGGTGGCCGCTCCCAGCCACTGCAGCCTCGACCTGCTGGGCTCCAGCGATCCTTCCGCCTCAGCCTTCCGAGTAGCTGGAACTACAGGCGCGCGCTTCCACGCCCAGCTAATTTTTGATTTGTCGTAGAGATGAGGTCTCATCAAGTTGCCCAGACAGGTCTTGGACCCACGGGCTCAGGCAGTCCACTCACCTCGGCCTCCCAAAGTGCTGGGATTAGAGGCTGAGCCACCGAGCCCAGCAAATATGAAGTTTTAAAAATTTTTTGACATGATTTTCTGCAGCAGTTTTAGGTTTACAGAAAAATGTGCAGAAAATCAAGTTCCCATATGTCCTGTGTCTTTCTCCTGCCTGTTTCCCCTCTTAGCCAACACGCCATATTAGTGTGGTGCACGTGTTACACTTGACCCTGCAGTGTCACATCCACACCAGCGCCACAGTTCCCACTGGGGTCCCTTATCCATGCCCTGGGTCTGGACATCCGCACTGACATCCTCCACAGGTCAGTGCCACACAGAGGAGGACCCTTCTGCACCCTATGCCCCCGGCATCGCTGTTCTGAACTCGGGACGCCACCCGGCCACAGTGCAGTCCTGGGATCCACATTTCACAAGAGCCACCAGCTGTTGGTCACACCCAGGCCCTCCCAGGCCACACCTGGCCAGAGGCAGCTGAGCCATTCCTCTAAGGGCCTCCGTGTTTGCCGGGTCCTGCCCACCTGGGAGCCCTGGGCCCACCTGGAGTTCTGGGCCCGCCTTGGCTGCCACCTGATTCATGAGTTGTTCTTTGCTCAAACTCAGACTCCTTTGTGTAAAGTCTCCTGGACCACAAGGCCACCAAGTGCCTCCACATTGCACCAAGACACGTCTTGTCCTGAGATGAGCATCCAGACCACATGACACCCCGGGGTCACAGCAGCCCTCCGCATCCGTCAGCCCCAACTGGTGGATTGGTGACCCCACTTCCAACTCAGGGCCAGAGGAAGCCAGACAAGCCCCGACACATGGGACGCCCACCCCCTGCCACCCCGACCTTCCCATGGCCTTGGCCTCCCCTAAGACTCCAACCATGGCCTCCCTCCAGCCCCTTCAGCCCCGCCACCGGGTGTCCACCCGTTGCAGGACGTCAATTCGCTGGTGGTGACCCCTCCAGAGACACAGACCCCTCGTCCTGGGCTGCGTGGGCTCCTCCTTCCTGTGTTTGCTAAGGCGAGGCAGTATCCCAAGCTCCCACCCGCCTTCCTGTCATCCCTGCTGCTGTTTGAGCTCCACGCGGTCAGGAGCCTGAGGGACATGGAAAGGGCACAGAGCACCTTTCCTTCCCTCGCAGACACCCTCATCCCTGCTGCTGGAGCCAGGCTCAGACTCCTGAAGCGTGTGGACACACTCCAAGATGCGTGGGCAAATCTCTACCATCGTGCAGGCCTAGGAATCTGGTTCCACATCCTGTCAAACCTGCTAGAGAGGCCAGGAGTTGGTGGTTCACACCTGTAATCCCAGCACTTTGGTAGTCTAAAGTGGGAGGATCACAGGCGTTCTTTTTTTTTTGAGTTGGAGTCTCACTCTGTTACCCAGACTGGAGTGCAGTGGCGCCCGGCAAGACCCTGTCTTTAAAAAAAATAAAGGCCGGGCTCGGTGGCTCAGCCTGTAATCCCAGCACTTTGGGAGGCAGAGGCGAGCAGACTGCCTGAGCCCGCAGGTTTGAGACCCACCAGGGCAGCTTGGCGAGACCTCGTCTCTACAATAAATCAAAAATCAGCGGGGCGTGTTAGCGCGCGCCTGTAGTTCCGGCTACTTGGAAGGCTGAGGCAGAAGGATCGCTGGAGCCAGCAGGTGAAGGCTGCGGTGACCGGGACCGTGCCACTGCACTCCAGTCTGGGCGACAGAGTGAGACTCCAACTAAACAATAAATAAAAAAAGAAATAAAAAATAGGCTGGGCGAAGTGGCTCACGCATATAATCCTAGCACTTTGGAGGCCAAGGTGAGAGGATTGCCTGAGCTCACAGGTTTGAGACCAGCCTGGGAAACTTGGTGAGACCTCATCTCTACAATAAAAAAATTAGCCAGGCATGGTGGCACGTGCCTGTAGTTCCAGCTACTTGGAAGGCTGAGGCAGAAGGATCACCTGAGCCCAGCAGGTTGAGGCTGCAGTGGCCATGAGCATGCCACTGCCCTCAGCCTGGGCGACAGAGCAAGACTCCAACTCAAAATAAATAAATAAAAAGATGAAAAAGTAAAATAAAATAGACCAGGTGCAGTGGCTCACACCTGTAATCTGAGCACTTTGGGAGGCTAAAGCCGGAGGATCACTTGAGTCAAGGAGTTCCAGACTAGCCTGTGCAGCATAGCAAGACCTCATCTCTATAAAAAAATAAAAAATTAGATGTGGTGGTGCACACCTGTTGTCCCAGCACTTTAGGAGGCCAAGGCAGGATTGCTTGAGGCCAGGAAGTTGAGACCAGCCTAGGCAACATAGTAAGACCCATCTCTACAAGAAATAAAAAATGGCCGGGCGCGTTGGCTCACACTTGTAATTCCAACACTTTGGGAGGCTGAGGCGGGAACATTGCTTGAGCCCTGGAGTTCAAGTCTGCAGTGAGCTATAATCATGCCACTGCACTACAGCCTGGGCAGCAGAGCAAGACCCTGTCTCAAAAAAAAAAAAAAAAAAACCAGCCGGGTTCAG